CCTTTGAGGATCACAGCTCGCCGCAACTGAGCGAGGATCTGCACGATATTTTCGTGAACAGCCAACTGGTTAAGCTGGAGAAGCTGCATCTGGAGCAGAACGAGATAACGCACTTCAAGGATCGCAACGTTTTTTGTGATCTGCCTGCGCTCCGGGATTTGCACTTGGGCGACAATCTCCTGAAGGACATTAACTTTGAAGTGCGTTGCTTGAACAATCTTCGTTTTCTGGATCTGGAGCGGAACAAGTTTGAGTTTGTCAAGCCCAGCGATATGCGGCTGCTCAACGAGCTGCAGGAGCGCGAGAATCGCACCGTCAATCTGATCGTCGACTTCAATCTGAATCCCTTTGTCTGCGACTGCAAAATATCCCCCTTCCGCACGTGGCTGCAGGCGACGCGAGTCCAGGTGCGCAATCAGGAAAGCCTCATGTGCTTCCATGGACTGCAACATGTTGATCCGGCGCCTGCGCACATCCTCCAGCTGGACATGAGCGAGTGTGCAGCCACAATGGCGGCAGCTGCATCGTTTCTGAATATCGCCGAAAACGAGCAGCTGTACGGGCAACTCCAGCCGCATATCAGTGGACACACGGCCACACTGATCTTTCTACTGATCGTGCTCAGCATGATTCTGCTGGGTCTGCTGGTGGCCCTCGTCTACGTTAGTCGCGACAAATTGAAGTACATGATGACTCCCGTGTTCGACAACGTGGCCAAGAAAGTGCAGTACACGTCGATCAAGGATGAGGATTGCCCGGAGGTTCATGTCTAAGCCCAACTGCAAATCCCACCCACACGTCCATATCAAACAGTAGCAACAGAACTAAGTACAGTTTCGTTCGATTACCAGTTTACTTTCATTTTGCCATTCGCATAGCGCAAATGTGTGCCATTCACAGAGAACGACGTCTAAGAAAGGGCGAAAGGAAAAAATAAAAAACAACAACCAGCCCAAATCTTTTGTAGAAACCCTATTCAGTTAACTGTATTTAAAAACAATATAAGCACTCACAAACCTATTGTTTGATAGTACATAAGTGAATTGTTGCATTTAAGGTAATAGTAGAACTACTAAAATGTAGCAACGTTGATTGATTACACGCAATTACAGCAATAATGTTAGCGATTTTCTAAGTAGTATTAAGCCTTAACTGTTGTTATGCGTTCGATGATTTCTGTGGCCCGCCCCAGCCCCAATAATATTTCAAAAACATATGTACTTACCATACATAGCATACAAGCATACATACATATACATATATATTGTAATAAACACGTTAGTGTAATCTGTGATTTAAGTTTAGTAGCTTTACTTTGTTAAAACGCAAGCAAACGATATTTGATGCATATAAAAACTTCAATCTGTATAACATATGACGTACTTAAATACATAACATACATATATACTACATACACTTATGTTTAAACTACTTATAAATGTTATTAATCATTTAAATTGTACTTTGAATTGATTCGCACTTTAATTTTCCTGTAATTAACACACAGTTTTTATAAATAAACTTTAAAAATAATACCAATTTGTTTTTCATTCAAATTGAATCCAAAATGACAAAGTAAGAATCAACTCAATATGATATCAGGATCCTGTAAGGCAAGGAAGCAAAGTACGTACTATTTGGCGAATATCGACTTATAAGTTTTTATCGGAAGAATACTACGTTAGTATAATCTGTGATTTAAGTTATTAGTGTATTTAAATCCACCCATGCACTACGTTGAATAAATGGAAACACAAAATTATATGTGCAGCCTTAATGCATGCCTCTGTGGATCTATTTACATATTTATATGAATGTTTGTCATTATAAGACAGCAAAACTTTTAATTAAATTACAAAAAAAAAAAAAAAAAAATTAAGTTGTCTTTTATTTTCTTAGATATAAAAACCTTATCTTATACCAAGTAAATTTATTTCTATCTACCAAGTACTTTTATTTTATTTTTCAAATGTGCGCGCCTTGATTAATATATGCATCCCTGGTAACAGTGCTGGGCAACATGAAATAGTAACAGCTGTTCGAGCGCAGACGGCTTCAAGCAACGGCAAGTTTTGCACTGATAAGCCGCTGTTTCTGGTAATTTTTTATTGTAAATAAAGATAATAATTTACCGCAGCACTATATGCTATTCTGTCTATCTATAGCTACATTACAAATTCAGTGAGATTTGCATGAGAGCGAGGTGGTGCTAGTTGGTGTATGTGTGTGTGTATATGAATATGAGTATAAGTGTATAAACAATTAGTTTTTCATTTTACGTCGTTCAAAATTGCTTTAGCTCTGTGTTCCTTATTTGCATTATGCAATGTCATACATCTAAGCATTAAAACCAGCGCGCTAACAAATTTTTGCTACGTTAAACTACGTTAACATTGAATTCACTTCTTCGAAGTAGCCCACACTCACGCACACACATAAAGTAATAATCATAATGTACATATGTACAACAACAAATATACGCAGTTTTATAACTAGTATTTTCTGCTAAATCGTCTCGATTCCAGATGCTCAAGAACTGTCGACGTGTGTGCGCTCTGTCTCGGCACACTTTATATTTAAATTCCTTCAGTCAGCGAGTTCGACACATCCATAAGGTGAACGCAGCTGCCGACAGCAGCATGGAAAAATTTGATCTGCCCAAACGCCTTCAGGGCAGCACGCCCAGCGTATGGAACGAATATATTGCATTAGCCATGCAGTACAAGCCATTGAATCTGGGCCAAGGATTTCCGGATGATGCAGCTCCGGACTATGTCACCAACTCGTTGGCGGATATTGCCAAGGATGAAAATCCGTTGCTGCATCAGTACACTAGAGGAAATGTAAGTGCTTTCATTTACTCCTTATCCCCGCCTAATGTGGGAAATTCATTTTAGGGTCATGTTCGCCTGGTGCAGGCACTGTCCAAACTCTATAGCGGCCTCGTTGGCAAAGAGCTCAACCCGCTTAGCGATATTCTGATTAGTTCCGGCGCCTATGAGGCTCTCTACTCCACCATAATGGGACATGTGGACGAGGGTGAAGAGGTCATTATTATTGAGCCCTTCTTCGATTGTTATGAGCCCATGGTCAAGATGGCCAGAGGTGTTCCTCGTTTCATTCCACTGAAATTGGTAAAGAATTGTTAACAAATCGCTCGGCTCTTTTGGGCATTCGTTTATCCTTTAATGTGATAATATCTTTTAGCGAAAGAAAGACGGTCCGATTAGCTCCGCCGACTGGGTCTTGGATGATCTTGAATTGGAGAAAATGTTCAATGAGAAGACAAAGATGATTATATTAAACACCCCGCACAATCCCACCGGAAAGGTCTTCCATCGCCAGGAACTGGAGCGCATAGCCGCATTGTGTCGCAAGTGGAATGTTCTCTGCGTATCGGATGAGGTCTATGAGTGGCTTGTCTTTGATGGTGTCGAACATGTGCGCATTTGCACTCTGCCTGGAATGTGGGATCGCACGATTACGATTGGCTCGGCAGGTAAAACCTTTTCGGTAACTGGCTGGAAAATTGGCTGGGCCTATGGACCGCATGACCTGATTAGAAACTTGCAAATGGTTCATCAGAACTCGGTTTACACCTGCCCGACACCACTGCAAGAGGGCGTGGCGCGCAGCTTTGAGGTGGAATTGGCACGTCTGGGAAAGCCAGAAAGCTATTTTCTATCCTTGCCCCGCGAGCTGCAGCCCAAGAGAGATTTTATGGCAAAGTTTCTGAGCGATGCGGGCTTACGACCAACAATACCAGAGGGTGGTTACTTTATGGTTGCTGATTGGTCTCCGTTGGCCTCTAAGCTCGACTTGAGCTCTGAGCTGGACAAGTATCGCGACTATAAATTCACCAAGTGGATGACGAAGAATATGGGTCTGCAGGGCATACCGCCGAGCGCCTTTTACAGCGAGCCCAATAAACACCTGGGGGAGGACTTTGTGCGATATTGCTTCATAAAAAAACAAGCGAATCTGGACAAGGCAGCTGAGTTGCTCAAAAAATTGAACTAAACTGTGTTTATAGTACAACTATGCATTTATTTGTTATGCCAATAAACGAATTTGTTTTGAAAGTGTCTAGGCACGATTCATTGGTCATCATGCATGCTTGAACGTGTACGCAAGAGTCATAACCTTTCGCAGACCATTACATAACCAAGAAGCAAAACAAATGTCTGGGTTGTAGCCTTACTCCAATCTCCTTTTATTTGCAATCCAATAACATGTTCATCCACACGAAATACATTGGAATTGTGTTGTGTTTCTTGTTATGTGTTAATTAAACTAAAGAAAAACGTTGAAACAAACGCCGCCTTACATATCAAAAACGGACTTGAGAGCCAATTCGGGCTTGTCGTAGCCCAGCTCCTCGATGGTCGGTACACCAAGCTCCTTCAGGGTTGGTGTGATTTTCTCCAGCAAGTACGGATAGAGAGTGGCCTTGTGGTCGCCGCACTTGTCCTTGCAGCCTTCCAGCCACCTAATGGCCAGGGCAATGTCGTTGACACGGCGGCAAGCGCGCAGTCCAGATTCAATGATCTTTGGGCTGGGCACTACATCCATGCCAAGCAGATCGTTCATGCCTTTGCGGATCTCCCATCCGTCGATGCCCTCGCGAGAGAAATATTTCTCATAACGCTTATCGAACTCTTCAGCCGATTCCTCGGTGCCGTGCAGACAGCGTACAGCGCCAACACGCGAGGATGTAACTCCAAGGGTGCCGCGCATGGCGGTGGCGAGTTTACCGGCAGTAGTGCGCAACATGGCTGTGCAGGGGAAATCAATTAAATAATTTAATTTCCAAAAATTTGGTTAAGTAACAGCTTGGACTCACTTTACACTCTTGCTCTTGCTATTTTTTCACACAGATGACAGAATTGTCAGAGTTGACCAGAATGCTGAGAAAATCGAGTACACGTATCCGATTTGCTTGTGTTATCGAAATAGTGCTGGGTAATGAATTTACTGTCAGTCCATTGGTTGAACGTTCTCGAACACTGTGTGACTTACTGAGTAGTCATTCTCATTTTGTGCCCGACAATTCGGTTGAAAATTGCATTTTCTGCTGAAAATAGACGTGCGAGCAGTGACCGCGGCTTAGTAAATTAAAATATAGCCAACGCAACAACAATAAAATGTCGACAGCAAGGTAAGCGCAGTGAAAACATCTCACACCCTCCCAATTTAGCTGCCTCAGTAGGAGAATTCTTCTTTTTGTGGCTTCTTTGTGGGACGCGTGCTTTTTGCTGTGGCAGGGGCATCGGCGGCGTCTATTTTCTGTAAAGGGCATTGCCAAGAATATATTATTTTCTTATAGATGCACACTATCCCACTTGCATCTAAAGTATGTTTCAGCCCCCAGAGTCATTTGGTGGGTGTGTCCAATGCGCAACTGCATTGTAGTATTTTTATACAGTTCGCGGCAGTGCCATCAAACTCAATGCGTTTGAGGTTATGTTAGGGTTGGCGCTAATTTTATTTCTAAGTGTTGCCCCAATGGTCAAATTCATACAGGATGGACTTTTATTTCATGCAAATCAGCTATAATTTTTGCATAAGCTTGCACTTTGGAGCGGCTGCTGAAGGGAACGATACTTCGGTTGCCATGATACGATGAATACAATATGCGTTGCCAAGCGGTGTTTCTCAGTTCCCGGTTTGTTTGTTTATCTAAGCATTTGGTTTTGATTTCAGCTCAATTCCTCCGCCAGTTTCCTGGGCTCAGCGCAGCGATTTGATTTATGTTATCATCGATGTGGAATGCAAAGACATTGAACACAAGTAAGCTCTACTCTTTCGTTTAATAAACAAAATAAGATTACATTTGATGCTATTGTTTTCGCAATATAGAGTGACAGACAAGACCTTCACTTTCAAGGGTGTAAATGCACTTGACGCCTCCAAAAAGTACGAGGTCACATTGAACTTTTACAATTCGGTTGATCCGGAGAAGGTGACTAGCAAGAATATTGGACGCTGTTTGGAATTCACAATACCCAAGAAGGAGAACGGTCCCTACTGGCCAACACTGACCACAGATAAGACCAAATTGCACTTCTTGAAGGCTAACTTTGCCAAGTGGCGTGATGAGTCTGACGAAGAGGAGGGTGGTGGTGAGTATGGGAATATTTAAAGTTTATTGATTAAATTTAATATATACTCTCTTGTCAGATGCTAAGGACAACGGAATGTTTAGCAACTTCTTAAATAGTCCGGGAGGCGATTGGAACAACAAATTTGATGATTTCAATGTCGACGAAGATGACGACTCCGACGATAACATACCCAGTCTATCGCAAAATGATGATGAGGACGAAGGTGGGGAGGGCGACAAAGACAAGAAGCCAGCTGCCTAAGCAGCTTGCTGTTTGGGCATTTTTTGAGTAATAGAGTCGTAGCATTAGCCGAGACCCCTATACCGTTAAGTCACACATACACACACACACAAAAGGACAAACACAATCATGCGTTCGTAAACACCTATTCCGAAAACACTAGAGTAGAATATGCGGCATGTCAGCAGAAGCAAGGAAAAGAAAAAGGAACAAAAAATTAATTTTACGCTGGATTTTCATCCCAATAACTAAAACTGGAAAAAGCTACAACCAATTCATTGCGAAGTTTCATTTGCAATTTATTATTTTTTGTTTCCTGTAAATAAAGGGAATTAAAATAAAATATAAAAATCTTAATGTTCAATTTGTTTTGTTTCCATGGTTTGTTTCGCCCACACATATATACATACATGTGTACATACATGCAGACTACGAGTTGAGATCACTAAAAATTCAAATGTCTGGCAACTCTATCAACACCGTTGCTTTGGCAACGCCGGCTTTCAAATTTTGTTTTGGGCAAACAAAATATGCTTAGTAAAAAAAATCATTCTTCAGCTGCTGTCAGTAGCAGTAAATACAGATTGCGTATGGACTGTAATCATATAAAGTAAATATATAATGGCACAGAATGGTAGACTTTCGTTTATAGCCGAATGGTTTCATGTTGAAGCTGGAATAACACGCAGTTACCTATTAACATACTATCTAAGCGACAATGCTGTTGAATTGGTAAGTTGATTATTGCCTTGCAATTCAGGTGAAATTAATTTTTGTTCAATACGCAGTATGACCAGCGTAGCAAGAAAACCTTCTTGAGACGCACCAAAATTCCCGAGTTATCGCCGCGTGATTTCTTTGTGGGTTCCAAAGTCAACGTGTTTGGACGGTCCTTTGATATTGTTGACTATGCGGACGAGATATCACGGAATACGTTGGCCAAATATCGCAAGCGGTGAGTCAGTACTAATCACCATGGTGTACAGCTCGTCTTAACCAAACGATCTTATACAGGGGCTTTGTGCTGCTCAAGAGCTCCATGTGGCCAAAGTACTTGGGCGAGTTTGTCACAACGCTCATTGACAACAAGATCAACATAAACAACGGCCAAATGGTTCAGTTTACACCGACGAGTGTGACGCAGTTTTTGGCCAGCAAGCAGGACGAGGATGTGCAGACATCGTAAGTTTTCTTGTAAATAACGCTAAAGTAAAATATACGAAACTTTAATTCTGCCTCAAAAAGTGTCTTGATGAACGAGCTTCTGGCTGGACCGGCTATTAGTTTGGAGCTCATAGGCGATAATGTGGTTGAGATTATATATGCCTGTTCAAAGTACAATACAGAGAAGGCTTCAACCACCATCGTGCTGTCACCCAGCCTGCAGCATCTGTTTGACCGGGAGGATGTTCGCTATGGTATCTATTGCTCCGAGCGTGAAGAGAATGTGGGCAAGGACTTGAAGTTCTTCTTTGAGGAACGTCACAATATTATTAAGGACTGCCAGTTCAAGAACACCACACTGGCCATCATAAAGCCTCATATAATCAAGGACGGGCTTCTGGGTCAAATACTCAAAGAGATCCTTTCGTCTGGCTTTAAGATAACAGCCATGCGCATGCTGCTAATGGCGCGAGTGAATTGTGAGGAATTCTATGAGGTCTACCGCGGTGTACTGCCGGAATTCATACCAATGGTGGCTCAGCTGGCAAGTGGTGTATGCATGTGTCTGGAAGTAGCATGCGAGGATCCGGAAAAGAACTCGCACCAGGAATTCCGCAACTTTTGCGGTCCAATGGATCCAGAAATTGCCAAGCTATTGCGCCCACATACGCTGCGCTCCAAGTTCGGCAGCTCCAAGGTGCTGAATGGCATTCACTGCACCGATCTGAGCGATGATACAAACCTTGAACTACAGTATATGTTCAAGATACTAGAATGATCCCAATTATCTATATTGTTCAGTTTATTTATTTGTCATTCGACCTAGATGTATGTGTGTGTGTGTAAATAAATTAAAAGTAATTATATTTAAATACCTATTCCACAAATTGAAAAGCCAATCAACTATACTTTTAAATGTACCTTTTTAGACAATGCTACACACTTCCGCTCCGGCTACTGGGGCTCGGAACATTGTCCGTCGCGTTGGGCAGGAGAACAACCAAATCTCCTGTCTGCATATCGCTCTTGAGCTCCTGCAGTCCATACTCGTAGGCCAACAGGGTAAAAATGATAATGCAGACCAGCATTAGCACGGCGTAGAAAAAATACTCGGCTTTTTGGGAGCTCAGAGCATCAAGTTGGGTAATTATCACCACGATGAGATTGCCAAAGGCATTGTTTAAGAACCATGCGGCTGTGACCACAGACTTCATGGATGATGGCGCCTGGGTGAAGGCAAACTGCAGCCCCGGAATGGACAACAGCAATTCGCCCATCATAAGCAGCAGGAACTGGGGCAGCTGCCAGACAATGTTGATGCTCTGACTAGGCGATTGCTATAAAAAAAGGAAAAACAATATTTATTGCTCGATTTGTTGTGCTCGTCGTGCACTGACCATAATGCGATCTTGTAGAATGCCGGCACAGAGAAAGGCAGCAGCTGAACATATGCCGCCAAGAGTGACACTGTGCAGCGGCTTCAGCTCCCAATGGAACAGTCGCCGCAAAAGTGGAACGGTCACATATTGCCAAAGAGGAATGAGCATGAAGAGGAAGATCGGACCCACGGCCTTAGCCTGATCCGGCTCAATGGTGACACCCAGCACTGTCGTATTCATCATAGTTGCCTGGAAGGTCCAGCTGGAGTCCTGCTGTGCGAGCAGCGCAAAATAAACGGGCAAAGGAATGAACAGCTTGGTGATCTACAACGATTATATAGGGAGAAGCGTGAATCTTTAGAGGAAGAACTGGCAGCGCCTTTTACTCACTCGCAACACCTTGGATACATCATTCACAAAATTCACTTCGTATGGTCCAATGGCATTTTGCAGCCAATAGCTGCATCGCTTGGCGGACTTGCGATGTCTCCACTTCTCCACCAGCGCCGTCTTGATGCAGCCACAGTACTTGAAGAGTATATTGTCCCCGAATAGTTTTTCCTTTTTGTAAAAGCATTTGCCGATCAAAAAGATAACTAGAAAACGCATAGGTACATAAGCTGAGAGCTGAGCTGTGGAGAAAATGTTGGCCAACTACTTACTCCATGCCATCATGAAGGAGCTGCCCAGCGTGCCAAACACAGCTGGATAGCATGTCGTCTTATCGAAGCACTGCGTGTTGGCTCTTATCAGCGGCGGTACAACTTTGCTCAAGAATATGCCAAAATAGTAGACGAAGTAATAGAAGGAGAAGTACTCGGCCAAATGGACCGCCTGCTCCGGCAGCTTGAACTGCAGCGCACCCAGCGATGTGATGCAGGCGCGTACAGATCCATTGCCCACCGCTATAAAGGAGATCGAGACCAACAAACTGTAAGTGAAAACATCCATGTATAACGGTAAACAAAATTAAAGACTGGACGAGCTCTACTCACAAAGCTGTCGAGGACATGCCCACCAATGGCACCGATGTCATCGTCAGCAGCAGCCAGCCAAAGCCATAGAGGAAGCAGAAGCCCGATATGGTGCGCACATTGCCCATATAGCTGTCGGCCAGAATAGCTCCAATAATCGGACAGAACTGCCCAAAGAAGTTGAAAATGTGCAACACAATCGTGGAGAAGCTTTCCGTAAAGCTGAGATCATCGCGCAAAAAGAGCACAAGAATGGCTGGAAAAATAGTTGAGATTAAGAAAACTCCTAATTACTTATATGTAGCTAATATCCAAAACTACAGATGCAACTAATTGCTAACTTGAGGCATACTTAAACAAACAATTCTGTTTATTTTAATTGTTTACAATAAGCGGAACGTAAACGAAGAAATAATAGTATTTGAAATATAATAAACCTCTGCGATTCCACCTACGTAAACAAAACTAAGTATTTATTTTCTACATTTACTATCTGATGCCAGTTTGTCATATTTAAAATATTTTTCAGATTTTAAAAACATCAAATCAATCTTAAGCTGTTGCATCTCTTAATGAGACAAGGCCTTGTGGGTCATCCATATGAGCTATCAATAAGACCTCCCATTGTGCATGCACTTCTGTTCGCTGATAAGCTCGACTTTTGGAATATTTTGACATTATAATGGAAGATTACTGTAGACGACCTAAGGCAACTGCATTGTACTGCTATAAAGTGGGTCACACGGGTACATACATATATGTATGCCCCACATCTGTTGCACTTACTGCGCATGCCGTTGGCTGCAAACGCCTCAAAGAACTTGGTGGCCAGTATAAAGCAGACGGCACGTGGATATTTGTACTCGAGCCGTATGTTGGATATGGGTGCAAAGCCATAGTTGGGCAATGAGATGCGTGGCTTTCTTAGCTTCTCGTGCTCCCCAAAATCAGATAACGAATTAGCCGTCGTCTGGGTGAGTTCCGCAATGGCAGGCAATGCTGTAAGGCCAGAGAGACAAATAGAGAGAGGGAGACGAGAAATTAAGAGTCAGTTGCTGGATCTGATCTCTCTTTATAGTTGGCTTATCTTATCGTCCGCAACTCACTTTCTTCGCTGCCGATTTCCGTGGCGCGGAACATTTTCCAGGTGCTTTGACCGCTGCTCAACCTAAACGAGGTAAACTAAACTGCACCTCACAGCCACCCTTTTGTCGCTGTTTCAGTTGTCTTCGAGTTGAGAGCTCAGATTACCAGCGCTGTGTCCGATTCGTTCACCTTGCGGCTTTTGTGGGTCGAGTGCGGTTGACTCTATTCTGCTCTGCAGTCTGTCGGTCCGTTTGCCGATCACCCACGCCGAGAGACAACCTTTGCGCACCACAGCTGAGAAGCTACTAAGCACTGAGATGTGGAGCCGGCGAGAGTCTTGTCTCGTATGCGGCGTCGGCTGTGCTCACTCAAGAGCAAGCATTGAGATAAAAGCAATAGCAAAGTGAATGCATCTCGGCGACAACAATGCGAATGCGACAGGTTATCGCTGTGTTTGCATGTCATGTGCCTGGGCCTCGCTGTTGATAAGGCCAAGTCGCGCTCAGTCGGGCAGAGCGAGTCACGGGACTATCCCGCGATAAGTAGGATGCTGCAGTGGTTAGTGATGCTGTCACAGTTCGTATTTTACAATGGATTTTTATTAAATTAGGCAGAAAAAGTATTTAGCTCGGCAGGCGAAACCAACTAGATAATTAAAACTAAACACGGATCTGGATGAGACATCGATGAAATTCGCATTTGTAATTTGGTTGCATACAAAAACGAGATGAAGGCAAAAGCAACCAATAACCATTGCCACGATGTGCCCTCACACCAGTTTCTTGGCCTCGAAGAAACTCTTGAGATGACGCATCTGCCAGAATCCCATGCAAACGAGGACCACAGTCTGCGCCAGCGACCACCAGAGCACACGAGAGTTGGTGCTCTCGCTTGTGTGACGGAAACGTTCCTCGCGATAGCGCTGATAGTTCTGCTCCTTGGTGATCTGTTCGACCTGGTCAAGCAACTGGCGAATGCGTAGCTGCAGCTCGGTTAGCTTCTCTTTTTGTGCCACATTGGCATAGTCGATGGCATGCTCGCCCACCTGAATATCGAGATGCACGCGCAGCTGGGCTCCATTGAACCAGGCGGTGCTATTGGAGTACATGCAAATGACGTGCTCGCCGGGAGTGTGCGAAGTGAACGACATTCGTCCCTGGGAGCTGTAGACGCGCGACAGGATCACTTTGTCGTCACTATCGCGTACCTCGACGTGCATGCCAATGCCCGGCGAGGATGGCATGAATCCATTGGAGCGTGGATCATAGAGCTCCACTTTGTAGTTCACTGCAACACAAATATAGATGTCAGTTTCTGAGCCACCAAATTATAATGCAGCTTACCAATCACAGTTGTCTCATCGGGCACCTCCTCGATAAAGCATTTGCGCTCCGTTTCCGATATGTGAAAGTATAGGCCACAGGCGCTGTGTAACGCACACAGCACGAGGGCAAGACAGATCCATTGGTCTCGCATTTTTTTTTTTTTTTTGTAAAAATTCCACTTGAGCTTCAATTATTTGTATTATAAAAACTAAGCTCGCCGACACGTCATGAGAAAAAGGCAAAGTGGCTACATTGACAAATTCCCATTTGACAGCTGCGAAAGAGCTGCCACTTGGCAAACAAAACACACACACACATGCGTACTTATATAAAAGGAATTAAGATTACTTATAAGTGGCAACGCTGGCTAAACAGCTGTTTGTTTTGTTGACGCACTAACCAGACAGGTTAGTGGTTGACGTTTAACTTTTGGCATTGTGGGTGCAATTTTAGATAAATAATGGACTTGATACTACTTGTTGGCATTGCAATTGCACTGTTAGTTATCCTGATAACGCTATATTTCCTGCAGAACAAAAATTCAAAGACAGGTATGCAGTGAAATGCAAAAAAATATAATACATTTCACTATACTCTACAACACTTTCCAATCAGAAACAAAAGCAGCTGCGCAACCTCAACGTGGCGTCCCACAACGAGCTCAGGAGGGCGTGCCAAGGCGTGCACAAATTGCGCGGAATCAGCGCAATCGATTGCGTGCGAATCAAAATGCTCCAGCGGCCGCAGCTGCGGCGGCTGCACCTGCCGCTGCTGCCATAGACACAGATAATGACGAAGCGGCGGCAGCTGGTGACGAGAATGGGCCACGAGTGCCACAGGGTGCTGTCCTGGATGAAAAGATGGGCGCCAAGAAACGCGCCAAAATGGAAGCTAAAGAACAAAAACGATTGCAGCGCGAACAAGAGTTGCACGATCGTGAGCAGCGCAAGGTGAAGGAGGCCAAAGAAGATGCAGAGCGCAAGCAGCAGGAGGAGCTCGAGGCGGAAGTGGAACGCAAAAGAGTGGAAGCCGAGCGATTGGCCAAGGAAGAGCGTGAGCGCAAAGAGCACGAGGAGTATCTCAAAATGAAGGCAGCGTTTAGCATCGAAGAGGAGGGCTTCGAAGAAGGCGATGCCGATGAGAAGGAGAGTTTGCTGGCCGACTTTATACAGTACATCAAGGACAATAAAGTCGTTCTACTAGAAGATTTGGCCACAGCATTCAAGTTGAAGACTCAGCAAGCCATAGAACGTATCCAAGAGCTGCAGGCAAATGGGACAATAACCGGCGTCATTGACGATCGCGGCAAATTCATTTACGTCTCAGAAGCGGAGTTGGCAGCCGTGGCCAAGTTCATCAAGCAGCGAGGTCGCGTATCGATTGCGGATTTGGCAGAGAGTAGTAATAAGCTGATAAACCTAACGCCCGTTGCAACTGGTGAAGGTAGCGTCCAATGAGATTTGTTAACTATTGTATATAAATTATATATAGTTGAAAATTGTATACAAATTTTTTGCGTGCATATTTGGAGCCGGGTGTGGCTCAGTGGGATACTCTGTGACCAAAAAAGCTTCAGCAGCTATTTGAAAAATGGAATGCTTTGCTGGTGAACTAAAAAGTTAAAGCGACGGTTACCATTTCTCCCTGCTTTATATATGGCTGAGGATTAAGTTTATAAGTATTAAAATTATCGGATTTTTAAATTGCATCGCGCACCAAAATGCAGAGTTTTAACAAAATAGAATATTTGTCTAAATAATAACAACGTTCGATCTGTTTGTTCTTTATACATTTGTACTCACATGCAGAGTATACATTTTAAAATTTAATTAAAATATGTAGACTTATTGCATATCATCGTCATCGCAGTCGTCCATGTCCTCATCGTCGTCATCCTCGTCGCTGGTAACATCCGGATCAGAGGCCTGTGCTCTGCACTTGGAACACTGACAAACGAATATATAATTTTCGCGTAAAATTTTATGTCTGGAATGACGACTGCGCTCCAACTGGCACTCATCCAAATAGGAAATGCATATCTCTTCTCCTTTTTGAATGGGGGCCACAGCTTTCAGAACGACAATGTCGTTGGAGTAGGGAAACGTGGACTGGGCATTGGGTACACAGCTGTGGTTGACCTTGCTCTGTAGAATGTACAATCCAGAACCCTCGTTGTTTAGGAATTCGCCAGCAACTGAATAGGAATAGCGAATGTTATATTTTTTATATATAATGATAACCGCTGTAACTTACACTCTCCCACTTTCTCATAGATTTGATCGATCACCTTGTCCAGGCTTTCCTTCTCCGCATCAGGCAGCGGTAACTCGGAAACTTTGTTAACCCACTGGGCCAGAACGCTGGTGGCAATGCCTTGACTATTCGTGCCCAATATGCCCATCAAGGTTTTGAAGGCATCCGGTGTAGTAAACTGTGGAGCAGATTGTACTTCTTAGAGCTGAATAAAATGCAAGCTTAAGGCATCACTTGCCATCGCGAACTCCTCGCTCTTGAATGCATTGCAAAAGGCTACATACAGTTGCTCCATTTGCTGCTCAAAGTTCTCGCCCAGCATCTTGTGGTATATTTTCTGCTCGCGATTGACAATCAGTGCTTGAAACGATTGGAGCTGATCCAAAAAGTCCGCCTTATTACTGCTCTGTTGATACATGGCCATCAAGCGAACAATCAGCATGATTGTGCCCGTCTCTGGCGGATAGTGCATCTTCTTCCACGTCTCGTTCAGCACATTAATGGGATGTGTATCGTCCGTCCGGAAGGCGCCCATGCAAGATACCCGATGATAGCGTTTCTGTGCCTCCACCAAGCAATCCTCAGAGCAGTACCGCACTTTGCAACGCGGACACTGCGTGAATTGTGAGAACCAGGTAGCTGTGGGATCGTGCTCGATCAAGGGCACCATGACTGCCTGGTTGTTGGCCAAACGTCGAACGTTTTCCAGCAATGTCTCCAGCTGAAAGTTAAGTTATAAATGGGCTGTCAGACAGTTGTTATTTCTTATTTACCGGTCGCATGCAATGGTCGCACGCTGCATAGCCATAGGCTTTGTTCCATGAGAACTGATGCGACACGAATGGCTCCTCCTCGAAGATGACCTCATCGACTGCAAAGTTCTTTGTTGCTATCATGGCACGCCCCTTGCCGGGTAGCTCCTGTATCTCAAAATAGTTCATGTTGTCGCCAATCACTATTGTAATTTGACATAAACAATACCAGTTGGGCACTCTTCGAATATGCACGTGCAGATGGTTGGTTGACTATCGATATCAATAACGATAAGATTTATGCTTGAGATATGGCAGCACTACTGAAATATATTGCAATACATATAGATGTTATGCTAATTATACATCATTTGTAGACATTTATTAACGTTATAATAAGTTGATAGAAAATACCCTATAATATTGCAAATATACTAGCTGTTTGGTATATTTTTCCTTGACTCGGTTTATCATTTGCGCCTTAATTTATTTCAGCTAGTGATGAGCACCTGCCTGCTATCGGGACTTGACAAGACGTGTACAATAGTATCGTCCAAAAGGCGCCAAACGTTGAAATTTAAAATTTCTTAGAGTCGCTGCTCTTAAAAATTGTGCGAATCAATTTAGTGCCATAATTTTTAATAACTATTATAATTCAATTTAATCCCTAGTAACTGACAAACGTTGTTGTACATTAATGGAACCAAATGCCGGTCAATTGTCAATGTTTACTTTTTAATAAAACCTTCCCAATGATCCCATTTCGAGTAAATTGAGTACACCTTATATGTTAAATGGAAACAACTGTTTTTTATGACTTGTACTATACTATTATATAATAATCAATTACATAATTTAAAATTTTAAGACAAGCTAATGTAATTTGTTGATTTTGTTTTTGTTTTTTCGTGTTTTAAATATAATATATATAAACATTTTTGTTAACAGGTGTGTATGTGTGTGTTGTGTTTTTAGTTGTTTTCTTGTAAAATACATAATCATAATCATAATTATAGTTTATAATTGTAATCATATTTTCTCTCGTATATAATAACTTTTGCGCCTAACATCTAATAATATTCAAATATAAATTTTTCCACTCTGAAATTAGTTTTATTGTTTAGTTCCTTCTCGTTTGCTTTCTTTGTGTATATTTCTTTCTTGTTTTTTTCTTGGGTTTCTTTATTTATTATTAAATTAATTTTTTATTCACTAACCAGCGCCATTTCGCGCGCCGTGGGCGTCGCCAGCGACTGGCCAAGCGCCGAGGCTGCCGAAACGGCGCTGCTCAGCCCGTTATCCTCGTCGCCGTTGACCGTTCGCGTCGCTGCAGCGATTGCGGCAGCGGCTGCCTTTTTGCGCTCTACTTCATCATCCTGATGCCGCACATCCTCATCATTGTTGTCGTCATCGTCATCGCCGCCCCTATCATCATTGTCGGCTTGTTCATGCGCCTCATCGGCAAAGGACACTTCGGCTGGACTGCTATTGCTATCACCATTTGGCGTCGCTGACGCCTCGGCTAGATCATGCTGATTATTGTTGGCTTTGTCTTCACTGGCGGACTTATTATTATCACTATCAGCATCGCTCTTGGGCGTCGGCGTCGGAGCTGGCGCTGGCGCTGGCGCAGCGGTTGCCTCCTCCTCGGGTATGTCCTCGATAAGGCTGCGGTTGCCAGAGCTGGCCGCCGATGGACTACGCGGCGGTGCCGCTGTCGACTCCGATATCGACTCCGCCTCAGCTGCTCGGCGCAAGAGCACCGGATCAGAGGCACGTAGTGAGCTCTCGGAGCCACCGACTCCCTCACCGCTCGGTCGCAGCACCAGATAGAGCAATATGTCTGACAGCGAGATGATGCCAATCACCTTGCACTGATCGTCGACAACGACCAGGCGATGCACCTCGGCGCGCACAATGCGCTCCATGATCGTGTAGAGCGACTCGTCCAAATTGCACTTCTGCACGCCCTCGAACCACTCGTTGCGATGCTCGTTCGCCTTGCGCAGCGAGACATCGAGATCGTTGTAGGTCTTCTCAGCAGCGAGATTCTGTGGAAGATAAATGCAATGTCGCATCACTATGCCCAACAGTTGGCAAACACTCGAGTTTACTTACAATCACATCGAACTTGGCATAAATGTCAACGAGTCGTCCCTCGGAATCGACCAGCGGCAGCGCCGAGACACGTCGCTCCACAAACTTCTTGAGCGCTGTGATGATGCTTGTGTTCTCGTCGGCGGTCTCGATGTTGTCGTAGGTGCCGATCTTCAGATCGCGCAAACTCTTCTTCATATATGCGGGCTTTGGTAATTCATTAATCTGTGAAAGAATGGAAATTATAATATGATATATAAATATAAGAGATTAAGGATAAAGGTTTAACAGATAAGATCAGAGAAGATCAATAGGACTACTTCTGCTATATTATATTCCAAAATTTATATATCAAGCTCATTTACTTGTATGTATATTCAAAAGAACTTTAAGTGAGCTTTACAGGTTTTTTTGGTGTTTTGCATTTTAGCTTGATTTTGGAAGATTTTTCCGACTGGAATGTAGATATGTTTAGATACATAAGTGAATTCATTTGGCACCTGTCTGATTTGTTATGGTCTATTTATAATCTCTGCTGATTCAATATTAACATTAGTTAATGGATCTCACTCACATATAAAAACAGGAACCTCAGTATGCGTTTATGTGTCAATATGTACAAAACATTGCCATTCTCTGGATTGATCACAGGCAGGCGATGTATGCGGCTGTGTATGAGAATTTTGATGGCATCATAGAGGGAGGCGTCCGGTCCGATGCTGACCAATGGCATCACCTGGTTATGTAGCACACCTGCAAATTAGAAAGAATTCCAAAGTAAATAAATGAATATATGCAGGCGAGTAATATGGCTAATGTATACTGACTGCGCCACGTGTCCAGTTTGTGCTCCTCCAGCTGCTCCATGGACGCGTTGGGTGACTTATAATACATTTGCAAGATCTTTATAAAGTCTGTGATGGTCAGCATGCCCACAAACTGTTGCTTCTCGGAGTCCCAGAGCGGGGCCGCACGCACGCCATTGTAGACCAGCGCATAGAAGGCCTTCTTCACCAGCAGCTGGGTGTCGAAGACGACCAATTTAGCGGAGGTGGGTATCAGATCATAGCACTTGTGAAAACGAAAGAACTTGACAAAGATCTGTGAATCGTCCTCCTCTGCAAAGTAGAAAGGAAAGCATGTGTTAAATGGATTTACTTTAAGCTTGATCTAATTTATTGGCAATTCTAGACTACGCTTGGCACCTTTCTTGAGCAGCTGAGCGAGCAGACGCTTCCAGGCATCGGAGATTTGTTCGAACTCCTTAATGCTCTCCAATGGATAGCAGAGCACATCACTGGGTCGACCGCTGCCGCCGAGCACCAAGCGGCCCGCATGATTCGAATAGAAATGCAGCTGTAACATGCGAGGAGGAGCTGTGCTTTGGGGGCTATCGGGTGGCTTGAA